TATCATGCTCCTGGCGAGCTGACACACAGGGCTATGTTTGGCTTGATGCGTCACAACTTGCACACGTCTGCATTAGAAAAGCAGCTCCAGGTAAAAACAAATGCATTGCTAAATACAGTTCTGTGAAAATTATGATATTGTTAACTGAGATAGCTCAGCTGGTGGAGCCTGAAATTCTTAATCTCAGGATTGTAGGTTTGAGCACCACATTGGGCAAAAGATACTTGCATTGCAGGGGTTGGACCAAATGACCCTCATGGCCCCTTCCAAATCTATGGTTCTATAGAAGTCACAGAGTATTCAGTGTGTGTTCTTTCTCTCAAGACTTTATCTGAATCATAGAATCGTAGAATGTTCGCTTTTGCTTGAACAAAAGGAGAAAATGTTCGTGAACTTTAACTGATGCCACCTTTGGATTTTTAAAAAAGTACCACTACTAGCCAAAGGGATGTGGGTGGCGCTGTGGTCTAAACCACAGAGCCTAGAGCTTGCCGATCAGAAGGTTGGCGGTTCGAATCCCCGTGACGGGGTGAGCTCCTGTTGCTCGGTCCCTGCTCCTGCCCACCTAGCAGTTCGAAAGCACATCAAAGTGCAAGTAGATAAATAGGTACCGCTCTGGTGGGAAGGTAAACACTGTTTCCGTGCACTGCTCTGGTTTCGCCAGAAGCAGCTTAGTCATGCTGGCCACATGACCCGGAAGCTGTACGCCGGCTTCCTCGGCCAATAAAGTGAGATGAACGCCGCAACCCCAGAGTCATCCACAACTGGACTTAACGGTCAGGGGTCCATTTACCTTTTACTAGCCAAAAACAGTCAGTCGTTCCAAGGGAACTAGGCTGAAGTAGAGGCAGATATTGTGTCTAAAGAGGGGATAAAAGGACTGTGTTTGGGCCAATATGTAGTGGGCCTGCATCCCAGCTTACATTACTAGCCACTCTGCACCTACAGCACCCACAGCATACAGTTCCCACCTGACTGATACCTCTGTCGCTGCCAAGCAGTGCCCTCCGTGATCCACAAATTCTTACTCCTCCTCTTCATCAGTCACCACTGTCGAACCTTGTGACACAAATTGCAGAGTGTAATGTGCCACTTCCTTGAAGAAGAATAAAAGGATAAGGAACCTCGAAAATTAAAACAAAAAAATTCATTCCAGTAGCACCTTAAAGACCAACTAAGTTAGTTCTTGGTATGAGCTTTCGTGTGCAAGCACACTTCTTCAGATACACTGAAACAGAAGTTGCCAGATCCTTCTACATAGTGAGAAGGTGGGGAGGGGTATTACTCAGAAGGGTGGTGGGAATGGGTGATTGGCAGATAGCTGAGATGAGCCTGTTGAGGACTCTTAACGACTGCAATAGGTCTTACAGGAAAAAGCAAGGGGTGAGAAGGTGAAAAATGGCTTTGTCATGTATAATGAGAAAAGAATCCAATGTCTATGTTCAGACCAGGTCTCTCCATGGTTTTAAGTTTGGTAATGAGTTGCAATTCAGCAGCTTCTCTTTCCAGTCTATTTCTGAAATTCCTTTGTAGTAAAACAGCTACTTTGAGATCTTGTATAGAATGTCCTGGGAGATTAGTTTCTTGTTTTTCTGTTTTTTCAGTAGCTCCAGTTGAGAGTGGTAAATGTTTTGTTTTTCCTTTTGGAACTCTTGCCAAGCTTGGTGGTTCCTGATAGAGTTGTCCAATACAAGGAGTTCCTCCTTTATTAGCTTCTGTTTAGAGTAGAGAACGCTGATCAGATGTTTGATCAGATGTAACTCGAAAATTAAGACAGCGTGATTGGGAGACATGGGTAGGGGCCACTTAAGCAAAGTAACTCCATATTTTGCACAGCCACATTGTAGCCTGGCTTCGTCATTAAGCAAAGTTGTATGTTGTAGGGAGAGAGATGCAGGAAATCATTCCAGCTCTAGGAAGGAAAAGGCTCTGCAGGAGCAAAGAGGGAACCAGCCGCAGCATGAGCAACAGCAAGCACGTTCTGTGCTTGTGTCATTAATTACTACTACTGAAGGTAAAAAAAGGTAAAGGTAGAGGACCCCTGGACAGTTAGGTCCAGTCAAAGGCGACTATGGGGTATGGCGCTCATCTCGCTTTAGGCCAAGGGAGCCAGCGTTTGTCCACAGACAGCTTTCCAGGTCATGTGGCCAGCAGGACTAAACCACTTCTGGCACAACGGGACACTGTGACGAGAGCCAGAGCGCATGAAAACACTGTTTATCTTCCCACCACAGCAGTACCTATTTATCTACTTGCACTGGTGTGCTTAAGGTCAGTAGTTCAAATCTGTGCAACAGGGTGAGCTCCTATTGCTCTGTCCCAGCTTCTGCCAACTACAGAAGGATTGCACAACTTGGAACGGGGGGGGGGGGTTGACTGGCGATCCTGGCTCTGTGGGTGCCCCAGTATTTTGGGTTCTCTCCCTTTCTCTCCCAGAGCTAGGGCTCTGGTGGCCAGGAACTCTGGGTGGTTGAGGTTTACTAGGGTAGCACAAAGCCCCTCGCTAACCCCAGGGATTCTCTCTCCCTGGCACCCCTGCCTGCAGATATTTTCGTCTGGTTCATTATGTTGCCTCCGAGGGAGAAAGCCCTGCTCATCTGAATGTGACTTACCCCTGAGAAAACATTCCTAAACGGTTGCTGTGATTTTGCCTCTGCTGTAGAAATGGGAATTATGGGAAGCTAATGAGGCTAGCACCCTTATGTGGATCTTCCCTATTCCCTGTTTAATTCTGTCTGAGTTCTTATTTGAGGACACTGGGTGAGTCCTGAGGTTTTGCAGCATGGTGTTTGGGTCTTAAATTCAATGGCACTCTTCATTCAGAAGTAAACGGATTATCTGTTGGGTCCGAGAAATAAAATGTGTTTGGTCATGACGCTTTAGGTCATCCTTATGTATTACGAGTTGTGGTAGTGTAGCGACAGAGACATACTACCTTGAAATGTGAAATCTGATGTGAAGGTATATAATGCAACAGTCTTGCTGGAGCACTGATGATCCAGGTCTATTCGATGCCAGGATGACATGTTACCTGGGAATCCTGTGTACACCATGCTGACTCTTGTGATGAAATTAAAATCTAGTTCTGCCTCTCTTCAAAAACACACAGGCAGATAGACCCATCTTTGGACAAACTGTATGCAATTGTATGAGAATGAAGGGAATTTAATTCTAACAAAGGCCAGATGGTGGTATCTTTCCAAGGAATAATTTTGTTCCTATTTAGCACGTGAAGACAATACAATTTTAAAAATAAAACCCAGCAAGTCCCACCCCACAAAAAAACCCCTATTATCCTTTCAGCTTTCCTGACAAGACTTTATTTTATCCAGCCAAGAAACATAATGTACTTGTACACACCAGTGAATTGATTCTTGGGCTAGGATAATTAAAAGTGTGTTTGGGTCCGTGATTACAAGAGACATTCCTTTTTGCAATGTTTTGTGCTGGGGATTTGTCAGCTCCGTAAGGAATAAGGAGTTGTGAGAACTGCAAGAGGGGTAAATGGGCCACACATTCCCTCTCCTGCGCCAAGGACAGAATATTGCTTTGGAGGTTTACAAACAACTGCTGAGGCGTCTCTCTCATATTGGCTGGAACTATTTGGATCCCAGCAAATGTCCGTTATGTTTCGCTTCTTTCAGAGAAGAGAACCAAAAGCATTTGCTTCCAAAACATGCCTTTTCCGCTTATGCAGAACATATGGGGAACAAACCAGTGGGAAGACCTCCAACGGCCCCTCGCAGAAGCGAATAAGCTCCACTGGGGCCCATTCAAGAGGCTTTGCTGCTGGATTGCACCCTTTGCTGTTGCATTCAGTTCTGTTGCATTTTACTTGTTTGGATTTTGTTGACCCCAGTAGAACAATGACCCTCCCGTTTTCTTTCTTTCTGAGAAGTCTTTCCAATGCGCCCATATGCTATCCTTGTGGAAGCTGTGCATGTAGAAGTCTAGTTCTCCTATTCAAAAGTGAGGAAAGGAATTCTGGACACTCATGGTGACTATGATCCTACAACGTTTCAACCATCTGGCGTACCTGCCTTTTGCGAGTGTATTGTTGGGTCTAGGTTCAAAATCAACCATCAAACTCATTGGGCAACCTTGGACTAGTCAACCTTGGCTCTAGATAAACTAGAAGCTGTAACCAATATCTGTTCAACACTTGGGGTTTCTTGGGGGAGACAAACCACGAAGCTGGGCTCCTACATACTATGGCTTGGCTGCAGGTAGTGTGGCGGCAGCAGGACTCAGGAAAGAACAGAGTAGGCACAGTCTTATCTCTGGCCATCAGCATGCTTGAATATTCACGTTAAACCATAGTTTGGCTTTCCATTGCGGCCATTTTATAAATTAATGTTTAATTTATTGATTGATTGATGTTTAGTTACCCCCTCCCAGTTAAATGGTGGGACTGATAGCGAGCAAATACACTGGGAATCAGGATTGCTGAAGAGTCTACCCTTAGTAAGGTATATAGATGCTCCAGCTTCTTCCTTCCATTCCAGCCATGTAAACAGGCGCAGCGAGATGAGATCACATAACAACCGTCCTAAAAGATCTGCTTCCTGGTTCCCGGTGTGCTATAGGGCTCTGTTCACAGTCCCTGCTGGCATTCGGAGTGAAGAGACTTGCAGAAGTGTCTTCTCCAACGCCAGAATGATTTCCTATTTAAGGTGTATTCATCTCCTGAACTGTTTGGTTTCAGACTCCAACTGAAAACATCATTATTTGTGCCAAGATTTCACAGTCTGATAAATAAAGGGGGGTGGTACTCATCAACAATGCATGTATTTCTATTTTAATTGATCCTTGTAGTGTTTGTATGTTTTTAGTGCTGCTCTGTTGTGCCTTGCTCATATGTTTGATGTACGTTGCATTACTGAGGAATATTGATTAAAAAAACTCACAAATAATTCCATGCAGCAGCCTACAGTCATGAGAACTGAATTTTACATCAAACTTCCACTAAACTTTTTTCTTTTCTTTTGTCTTTTCTTTAGAAAAACTCTACAATTCAAATGGACGGGAGCTGAGGCGGGCCCTCTTCTCCCTGAAACAGATATTTCAAGTAAGTGAGCCTTTGTTCCGGTTCTTTTTGTCTACCATTCAAGCTGGTTTCCATAAGATTACATAGGTACAGGCTTGTTTAACAGGAAGCTAGAAGATATTGGAAGTGGTTATGGGCAGGCAAGCACATTATTTACCCATTTTGAGTGTTTCCCCAGGTCCTTGACTTCATTTTGCCTGGAAGGGTAGATGGAGCAAAATACCTTTTGCACCCCACCCACTTTTGCACTCACCACCCATGGTGGAAAAAAAGAGAATCCCAATGGCACTATAAATACTCTCCCTCTCTTAAAAGGAAGGTTTCTTTCTTGCTTCCTGAAATACTAGCGGTGGTAGCAGAATCCTTTGTTCTGTGTGCTCCCCCATTCAACCTGCAATGTCAGGGGTTGAAAGGGGGAGGGTGCAAAACAGCAAGCAGAGTGGGGGGTCACCAGCCATTAATTGTGGCTTGACACCCCTCCTCCCTTTCATTTTTGCAGTCCTGGGCAGGTAGCAAAATGGTGAATAAATCCTATGCATTGTCTGTTGGGCTGAAATTTTCAATGCTGGGTTTAGTTAATAAATAGGTGATGCGGACGAGACCACTCTTCCATGCACTGATCTAAGTTATGTTTTTTATACATATTTCTGTAAGAGTTTTTTCCAAAAAACCTTGATGAATTATGTATCATGTCGTGCAAATATTAGGCAACAGATTGTGAGCAAAATTGGGTATAAAATCTCTCAATTTCTCTCTCTCCATACATACACACACACACACACACACACACACTCACACACACATTCATACACACACACACTCATACACACAGCATTATGTCATGAATCCATTAATCATTGCTAACAATTGTGCTTTTCAAAGCTTTTAGAGCATCTCTTTTTCAGTCTGCTGAAAAGATTAACTTGAAGGTGTTCAGAGTCATAGAATCTTATCAGCGAGAGAAATAAAATGTCACACACTTCACTCCTAAAGAGTCATCAATCATCCTTTGGAGAGGAGAAGGAGTATTCCCCAATTGCTTCATTGATCTGAGGAAGGAGGTGTGGCACATAGAACACCCTGGTTCATGAAAAGAATGATGGATGACTCCTCAGGGACTGGAGTAGATGAATTTGATTTAGGGGCTTCATTTGTAGCTTGCCAGAGCTTTCTGTATTCAGCTACGAGAAGAAGAGAATACCCTCTGTTTGATGACTTCAATCTTTTCTAGTAAATTGCTTGGGTTCTGTCACAAAGAGGAGAAAGCATTTTATTCCCCCGAACTTCTATGTTCCAAGCTAGTACTTTGAAATTTTGTTTTCATCCTTGTTATTTTCTGTTGACAAAATTCATTTCACATATACAGTGGTACCTCGGGTTAAGTACTTAATTTGTTCCGGAGGTCCGTTCTTAACCTGAAACTGTTCTTAACCTGAAGCACCACTTTAGCTGCTGCCGTGCCGCTGGAGCACGATTTCTGTTCTCATCCTGAAGCAAAGTTCTTAACCCAAGGTACTATTTCTGGGTTAACGGAGTCTGTAACCTGAAGCATATGTAACCTGAAGCATATGTAACCCGAGGTACCACTGTACAAGCCAAAATAGGTTTAGGATTGTGGTCATTGATTTAAATTATCCATTGGGACATTGTATCACACATGATACACTGGTGGTTTATCATGTGTGATACAACAGTGGACTTCTCATGGTGTGGAAAGAAGAAGCCTTTGACTGCTTGCTTTTGAGGAGAAGGATGGACCTACCAACACCTACCTCCTCACATATTTAGAGCCACCACCTCCTGAAGGGGAGAACTTCTCCTGAAGGTACCACTGCGCAAAGGGGTACACATGCTCTGTTTTCACCTTAATTGGGGAGAGGGGCCATGATTGATGAATGGGAGTAATCTTGCCTTTGGAATTGGCTCAGGTGAACATTCTTAACATCTCCTTTCAGGCATTCACGCTCTGTGAGCACAAGTCAGGAGTGGGGCGAGTGGGGCTGGTGCATGCAAGAACATTCTAAGTAGGACTGGCGTCTGTGGCCTCTGCGCAGTTTGTGCCCATGTGTGTGCAGCTGTGGTCTTGGACTTGCCTAGGGGTGAGCGTCCGTTACTCTTTCCCAGCTCCTGCCAACCTAGCAGTTGAAAAGCACATCAGTGCAAGTAGATAAATAGGTACTGCTGCAGCGGGAAGGTAAATTGTGTTTCCATACGCTCTGGTTTCTGTCACGGTGTTCCATTGCGCCAGAAGCATTTTAGTCATGCTGGCCACATAACCTGGAAAGCTGTCTGTGGACAAGCGCTGGCTCCCTTGGTCTGAAAAGTGAGATGAGCACTGCACTTCAAAGTCACCTTTGACTGGACTTAACCATCCAGGGGTCCTTTACCTTACCTTTACCTTCCTTACAATGGTGTTTGTAAAAGTCAGTCATTGTTAGGGTTCTGGCCTCATTTGGCAGTCTTACCAGCTATTTTTGAATGTGAAACTAAAACGACCACTGACAATAATTTAAAACAGAAAATCAGCTGGAATTTCTATGATGTTCAAGTATTAAATGTCATTGTTGTTCTGTAGCAATACTAGTTTTGCCTGGTTGCGGTTCCCTTCCATTAAGTGCTGTTACGTAGATGTATTATTTGTTGCAGCTGAATAGAGCTTTTGATTTTAAGAACTCTTTAGAGCACAATCCAGGTTACATACCGTGGATCTTAGTTAGTTTTACTAAAAAAAAAGTTAATTCTCCTTATTTAAATTAGTGGAACTTCAAAGTGCTTAACTGGCTGGATTGCATACTTAGTTTCCAGTTTAGTTTTATTATTCAAATATTCTTGAATGTGATCCACAGCTTGACTTTACAATTTTCATGTGAGGTTTTCTCTTTATTTTCTTGGTTATTGAAGTTGATTACGGGCATACGCAAATAATTTTACTTGTATGCCGCCTTTCCATAGTTAAAACAATGCTCAGGGCAGCTTTGTTCTTGTTGTTGTTTAGTCGTTTAGTCGTGTCCGACTCTTCGTGACCCCATGGACCAGAGCACGCCAGGCACCTCTGTCCTCCACTGCCTCCCGCAGTTTGGTCAAACTCACGCTGGTAACCTCGAAAACACTGTCCAACCATCTCGTCCTCTGTCATCCCCTTCTCCTTGTGCCCTCCATCTTTCCCAGCATCAGTGTCTTCTCCAGGGAGTCTTCTCTTCTCCTGAGGTGGCCAAAGTCTTGGAGCCTCAGCTTCAGGATCTGTCCTTCCAGTGAGCACTCAGGGCTGATTTCCTTAAGAATGGATGCGTTTGATCTTCTTGCAGTCCATGGGACTCTCAAGAGTCTTCTCCCGCACCATAATTCAAAAGCATCAATTCTTTGGCAATCAGGGCAGCTTACAACATGGAAAAAAGCACATAATCCAAAACATTAGAAAAGTAGTGATAAACACCCCCCAAAAAATGCCCATCAAAAAGTACAAAGCTAAATTGAACAATTTCCGCATAAATCAAGTAAGATCTAAGATAAAGATGCAAAATTAATTGAAACAAAATAAAATAAAAAAATTCCTTCCAGTAGTACCTTAGAGACCAACTAAGTTAGTTATTGGTATGAGCTTTCGTGTGCATGCACACTTCTTCAGATACGCTGAAACAGAAGTCACCAGACCCTTATATATAGTGAGAGGGTGGGGAGGGGTATTACTCAGAAGGGTGGTGGGAATGGGTGATTGGCTGATAGGTGTGGTAAACCTGTTGACGACTGTTAATGACTGCAGTTGGTCTTACAGGAAAAAGCAAGGGGTGAGATGGCTAAAAATAGCTTTATCATGTATAATGAGATAAGAACCCAATGTCTCTATTCAGACCAGGTCTCTCCATGGTTTTGAATTTGGTAATAAGTTGCAATTCAGCAACTTCTCTTTCCAGTCTATTTCTGAAATTCTTTCGTAATAAGACAGCTACTTTGAGATCTTGTATAGAATGTCCTGGGAGATTGAGGTGTTAATTTATGCAAAATTAATATCAGTAAGAGCAACAACAACCCCCTAACCAAACCCTCTTAAACAACACCTTAGCTCAGTAGTGTGGCAGCGTGGCCCTGCAGAGCAATGGCGCTGCTTGGGTTCCCACTTACAAGTGTGCCCAAAATGGGGCTGAAAATGGGCGGGATGGAATGTAAGGGAACCCAGTGTAAGTGGTTTCCACTGGGGAGCCACAGAAAGAATGTGGTTGGTCAAGGGAGCTGGGGACTCAAAAAACGTGAAAACTGCTTTAGGCTATTCATCCTGGCAGCCCTTCAATCAGAGGGTATAATAATAATAATTATATATATATATCCCGCCCTCCCCAGCCAAAGCCGGGCTCAGAGCTGCTAACAACAGTAAAAATAGCACAATTTACATAAAATCACAGTCAATTAATTAAAATACATGTTAAAATCAATTCAGAATCAAATTAATGGAACCATTGGGCTAGAGTTCTATGAGGATTGCCAAAGGATGGGGTCAGACTGTGCGTTGGCCAAAGGCCTGGTGGAACAGCTCTGTCTTGCAGGCCCTGCAGAAAGATGTCAAGTCCCACAGGGCCCTGGTTTCTTGTGACAGAGCGTTCCACCAGATCGGGGCCACAGCCAAAAAAGCCCTGGCTCTGCTTGAGGCCAGCCTAACCTCCCTGTGGCCCGGGATCTCCAAGATGCTTTTATTTGAAGACCATAAGGTCCTCCGTGGGACATACCAGGAAAGGTGGTCCCGTAGGTACGAGGGTCCTAGGCCGTATAGAGCTAAACAAATATAGCAACCCACTATTTGCATCCCCATCCCCAAAACACATAATCCTGCAAATTTTAACCAGTCTCCTTAAAGTTATCATTTGTTGCTCAGGGGAAAGATGTAAGTAAAGGAAATAGAACTCAAGAAGCAGAAGAACTTCCTGCAGTCTCAACTCAGACAGGCATTTGCCATTCTTGGGCTATTCTTACTACTCCCAGTGCTATAATGTGTTTCTGTTCTTTGAATGTGAAGATTCTTCATAGTTTTG